GTGAACTTTACTGTAATTTAAGTATGCAATATTTTATTCATATTATTGGTATTCCCCACTTTAGATCAGACTTCTCTACAGCTCATCCCCATTGTAGAGATCTATGGTCTTCATGAAGCTGTAGAGGAACAGCTGGAGCAGGACGTCCTCCAACATCAGGACGTCCACACTCCAATTAGTTCCTCTGAAGTTGACAAAGTGGAAGAGCTGGACAAGGGTAAATTTACTGCCATAATCTAAAACAATACACACATTCTCGCATTCCCATTTTTCAAACGTTCCCTAAATGAAGAACCATTCTAATTTGAATATGCGATATTTCATTCCTATTATTTATCTGATTTAATTAATGTTATTGGTATTCCCCTCTTTAGATCAGACTTCTCTACAGCAAATTGTAGAGATTCATGATCTTGGAGAAGCTCCAGTCTCTGAAGTCCTCCCTGCTCCTGAGGAACAGCTGGAACAGGACGTCCTCCAACCTCAGGACGTCAAAACTCCAGTGAGCTCCACTGAAGATGAAGCGGAGGAGCCAGACCACAGTAAGAATAATAAATAAATGAGAATAAGTAACAAAAATGTAATTACATATGAGAAGTTTAACATTTGTTTATCTTTTAATAGGCCACATTTTCTGGAGATATGAATTCGGTCACAAGCTGGGTGAAGGAGGCTACGGCTGTGTGCATGCAGGAACTCGATGCGAGGATGGCCTGAAGGTTTCATTTGTTTACTTACTCCTTTTTTACTTACAAAACTTTCCATTCAGTATTCATGACTGGACTGATCTCTGTGCACATGCTAACTGTTAGTTCTTTGTTTTGTTGATCAGGTGGCTGTGAAAATTGCTGACAAGACACCAAATACGCCATATATCAGAGTTGTAAGTAGCCTGCGCTCTTTATATTATTGCTTCTCAGTCACTGTTTCCCGTTTCTAACATCTCATATTCATGTTAATCTGAGAAAACACCTCCATCTAAGCATCATATATTCTTTCTTTTAGCCTGGTCATCCCAGACGCCTCCCCTTAGAGATCGGCCTGACACTCATGGCCAATAAGTGCCCCAGCGTCCCGCAGATAATCAAACTCCTGGACTGGCAGGACGACCCGGACCACTACGTAATGGACTTGAAGCGGCCCATGCCCTGCATGAGCGTGTTTAATTTAGTGAAGCTCCGACAAAGGCTCGATGAGAAGATGGCAAGACATGTTATGTGGCAGGTCATTCATGCTGCTAACACTTGCTGTGAGCGCGGCGTCTTCCACCGAGATATTAAATTGGAGAACCTCCTGGTGAACCCGGACACGTGGGAGGTCAAGTTGATCGACTTCGGGTGCGGCACACTCATGAAGGACTCCGCCTACATGGCCTTCAATGGTATGCTTGATGATTTGCTAGCGGGTTGTTTAACTCCTGCTGTAAATGTCTTCGAAATGAATTCAATATCAAAATTTCTTCCCTTTAGGCACAGACATGTTCTGTCCACCGGAGTTTGATTTTGACGGCAAGTACCACGCAAAGCCGGCGACAGTTTGGTCATTGGGGATGCTGCTGTTCGTGATGGTGTGCGGGTATTATCCAGACGAGAAAGACCTGCACAGGATCAGTAAGAACGACTGGTCGGACCCTGACCTGTCACAAGGTGAGATCTTCATCAAAGAACAAAGCTGGACAAATTGAATTCTAAATATGAAAGTATACCATTTGAAATCTAAATATAAAAGGTGTAACATACTGTATTGGTTAATGATCAGACATCTCTCTCATCTTTTTGGACAGAATGCTGCCAGATGATCCACGATTGTCTGCAGCCTGATCCGCAGCGGAGACTCATCCTGGAAGAGATGCAGCTCCATGACTGGCTTATGGTACTACCATTAGAGTCTATGATTTGCTAAATGTTTTGTTCATATAATCAGTCAAATTTACTCAAAATGTAATAATATACTTAGATTAATGACACTGATTTATGTTGTTGTTTCAGGTCGTGGAGTAAGACATGGAGAGCAACAAAAACAACTCCGTCACGGCCACTCTGTTGTTAGTGGCCTTTCCATCCCTCCACTTTGGCCTTGGTGTCTTGTGTCCTGATAGCACCTGGCACCTTAAATATTATTTATATTTATACTTTGTTCTAGATGTTTGTGTTAAGTTTTAGGATATTTGCATTTGTATTAAGATATTTATAAGGAATGGGTAATGTGTAATTGTAATTTTTGTAAGTATAATAGTAGTATAATAATAGAATAAATATATTAGAATAAGTATAATGTATTAAGATAAAGATATTTGTATTTGTATTAAGATATTTATGCACTGTTATATTAGCAGAGTGACTGTAAATTGGACTACTGTAATCAGTCTCTCTCTCTCTCTATATATATATATACATATATATTAAAAAAATAAACAAAAAGTAGTCTTCCATTCACCACTATACACTCATCCATGACACAAAATGTTAGTGTAGTGTACACAAATATTCAGAAATGTCAAAATGACAAAAAAATTATGTTCACTTCACACAAAAACACATCCTGTTAGCCTGACAGAATATTTGATTTTACTGTAATAAGTACTAACTATAAGATTTATAAAGCACATTTGGCCTAGCGTGTATACTGTACGTTCAATTGACAACACATTGAGCACTTAGCATACAATGTAACAGTCGACTGAACATGTAGCCTAGTTATGTAGTCATTTCTGTACTCAAAATTAATACTTTGTTCATTTTACATATAGAAACAACCTTATGATGACCAGATTTGCAGTGTCATGCCGTGTCAATTCAAAGACCAAAATGAATATCTTTCCCAAGAGAAAAATTCACTGTCAAAAGTGAGTTCTGAGCACTGACTCTCCAAAGTTTTGCTTTAGCATTTAGCACAATTTAGCATTGTTCTTCCCCCTGTCCGCAACCCTTTTAGAACAAACCTTAAACATACCAGTTGAGAACCACCGGTATAAAATAAATTGGTGACTCGGTCATGCATTTATTCAAAGCAATTAAAAGCCCTTGAAGAAAATCATTGCCTCAGAGAAATAGCACAACAGCATTTTGTTTTAAATAATTTAATACATTTTAAAATTATTTGGTTTACTACATTTGACCTGTGTATCACACTAAACATACAAAATAACAAGAAATATTTAATCCATAATCCATTAAATGATGCACTGATAGTGTAACTGTGACCCTTCTATGTGAATGGAGAGCAGAACACCGGAGTACGGCTCAAACTACCCAACGACAGTGTAGCACAGACGGAGGTCCATTGTGTACAGCACCTAAAACACCCTTTACACTATTAACATCTTTTCAGGTACACTTGAACACAATTTCAACTCATTTAAATGGGTGTTTTGTACATCAGGTCAGAAATATTGGAGATACTTAGATACAAACATATTTAGAAACAAATCAAACTCACGGTTATCTCGCTTGTGTGTTAAATGAAAAAAGGAGAATCACTCAAATCAATGAATACACAGCAAAGTGCCAAGATTCTCCTAATCGCATCAGAATGACAAAGGGCTAGGTAATCAGAGATCTGGATTTCAGTCCGTCGGTTTAACAGGTGACGGTTGGCTTTTATCGCAATTGTTTTCAGGAACATTGCTATAGCAATTGAGCTCCGGCTGCTCATATATTATTTCAAACATCCTGGAACACAAAAGCTACCATCAAAGTGAAACTGCACCACCAACAATTCTGTATTAAACATTAAAAAAAATTTCAATAAAAATAAAAAAACAACAAGAATAAAACCCTACAGGCATAAAAATATATTCCTCTTTTTGTTTTCATGATACATTTCTAGTACACTAAGTTTAATTCACATCAAGTATAGAACATCTCAAAGCAGAAGCACTATATTCACTCACATCATAAGCTTGAGTTGAACTATGTGTTTGACACGGACACACTGTGCACTGCAGCTCTTTAGGGAAATTCATTCTCATGTATTTTGTGCAGAGATTCCTCCTCTGAATGTAAACTGAGCTCCCAGCTCGTCTTGAACTATTTACTGCAGCATGTTACCACAGACACACGTCCGAGTGATTGTTCACATTCACGATAATAATATGAAATTAGTGCTGAGGCAGCACAGAATATTGCACGTTCAAACGCTTGAGACACAATTGTACTCTGTACAGTATGTACACAATATCTGTGCACTGTGTCTCCAGAGGGAGTGTGCCTTAGGCTAGGGGTTTCTCTCTCCCCCTCCACTGAGTGGGGTCAGGGTGGATCTGTGTGGTTTTGGATGGGCTTTGTAGAGTTTCTTTGGAATTTTGAGTTTCAAGAATTGCACTTCACTTATTTTGTATCACGTTTAAGAAAGATAAACGACCCATCCAAAAGCCCTGAAACATGCAGTTTGTTTAACTGGTACAATTTTGTTTTTAGTCATATAGCTCTTTAAATGCTTTTATGTTAATTAATTCCTGTGATATTTTATTGCACTTTCATAATGCAATAAAATGTTATTCAGAAATGTGTTCATCATCTAACACTATCATTTGTTCCAGGAATATTTAGCAGTCAGCCATCTCCAATACTTTCTAGTGTACATCCTGTGGAAAAAATCAGGTTGCCATTGCTAAATTAAAAGTCAAGGACTCAAGGACTACAATTCTTAACCTTCAGTGCAAAACAAACACGCAGAAATAAATATTGCATTAAAAAGACTTGAGCACAATTATTTACAAGTAAGTAAATGATCACCTTTAAATTCAATTTTAATCAAATTACTTGAATCAATTTAGCTGTACTGTAATGGCTGAAGAAATTAATTTTTGAGTTTTCAACTTCACTTGATGTTGTTACCAAAGGAAAACAGATGGATGTGCATTTTTTCAGGAATATTAAGAGTATTAACCCAATTATTCCACAGGATCATCACAGAAAAAAATTACAAACAGCTTGTACCCTTATTGGGTCATCTTTGTACCTTATTTACCTCAAAAAGATGCATAGTAGTACCTTAAGGGTACATACCTATGAACTATTCTAAGGTACAAATATGCACCTTTTAGGGGTAGATAAAGTACAAATTTGTCCTTTTAAGGGTAGTGACCCATCAACAACTAGCTGTGCCCCTAAAGGTACAATTTGGGCATATTTGTTTTCAGACAGTGCACAACATTAAGAAGGCTGATAGCCATAACAGCGCTAATACTTAGAGAAACCTGTAGAATACAAAATCTGTGAGGTTTCATCTGAAGGTTGCAGCAATTTCAAACACCAACAGCACTTCCACTGACACCAATGGGTCCATCTTCAAACATTCTTGATGATCAAGGAATAATCCCAAATAACATTTGAATGGTCTCCAAATTTGGAATAACTGATCCTTTTTATGATCTTGAGTAACCGTGACTCATTTTCACTTTCATTGTCTGGATTTGAAGATGGTTTTGTCTCCACAATGCATATTTTTGATGTATGTACTAAGTTCTAAAGGAGCTGAACTGGACCAGAGCATGTTTGCCTCAAAGATGATGTAGATGAACCCAGTAATGAAAACTCTCGGCCAGCACTGACTCTCTCTCATTCTCCTTCTCTCTAGCTCTCAATCTCCATTCATCTCCATCACCTTTTCTGTGAGGATTTCCCGGAAGGTCGAAAGCTGCTTCATCTGCTCCGTCTGCATCGAGTGTCGTCTCATCAGTTTCTTCTTCATCTTGAAGTCTGGTCCACGCTTTGGTGACGATGGCGCGACCGGCAGCAGGATCTTGCTCCCTGAGTGAACGGGAGAAGTGGGCTTTCCGTTGGCACGGATATCAGGAATGGGTCGCTGAGGGTTGACGTTGAGAGGAGGAAGGAACCCAGGTCTTGTGTGGGAGATGTGGTCCAAAAGGAGAGTGCCTGATCCCCGCCGTTCCAACAGTCCTGTTGGCCGCCGCCGCATTGTCATAGGAGACACCGAGTTGGGAATGCTCTCCAAAGACTCTCGAGAAGAGCTGGTGAGCAGTGACAAGGGAGAGGCGTTGTACTTGCGGCGCTCCACTGAGACACGTCCAGAATCCGGAGATCCCGGGATGGAGGCAGGGCACAGGTGGGTGTCCGACTCGTAGTGTTCCATGCGGGTGAGTTTGGGGTGTGGTAAGCCCCGGATCCCTGTTGGTGCCTGAGCCACACTGTCCTGAGTCTCAGGGGCCGTGTTTCGACGATACAGTGACTGGTGCTGATGTACTTTATCCGCCCAGGAAGAGCCACAGAGTGCTGCACAGTCTTCCGAACAGGACCGGTCCATCAGCTTTGGAGAAGATGGGTCATGGGTCTCTATACTGTGCCTTCGGGACAGGAGAGGTCTGCCAGGACCAGAAACTGTCATCCCATTCATCTCCGAGACCAACTTGTCCTCCTCGGCTAAATCGCCCTCTATCCGCTCCGCTCTCTCAGCAAGTACTGAAGGAGCCACCAGACCCCATGGCTCAGAGTTCAGTCTTTTCAGAAGCTTACGGGGTGGTGGTCTCCTCTCCCCTTGTGGTCTGTTCGAGGGTAGAGGGAGTGCTGAAGTCACGGCAAAGCTGAAGATACCTTCCTCCTCCTCACCGGGGGCAGAGCCTGAGGTATGGATCTCTACCTCAGATGGAGACATGCAAGCAGGGGAAAGCTTGTCCACTATACCTGGAGATGGTGGGGAGTTCAGGTATTGTTTGGTCTTTTTAGTGCCAGAGGGAGATGTATCGGTGGTAATGATGATGACCTCTTTACCTTTGGCTTTGCAGGCATCCAGCAGGACCTGAAGAGTGTCCCTGTCGCCCTTATTGATGGCGTGTACGAGTGCAGAGGCCCCAGAATAGTCTTTCAAGCTGGGATCGGCGCCATTTTCCAACAGCAGCGACACCACCTCTTTGCCTGCCTTTTCTGCACACGCATGCATCAGGGCGGTCCGACCCGATTTGTCAGGGATGTTTGGGTCTGCTCCCTTCTCAAGCAGGTACTTCACCATTCTCTGCCGGGTCTGTAGATCATCGTATCCTGCCAGACAGGCCGCTATGACCGGCGTCTCCCCTCGCTCGTTCCCTTCATTGATATAGGCTCCGCCTTCCAGGAGCAGGCGAGCGAGGCGGAGCTTGCCCTGGAACACTGCTTTCAGAAGGGCATTGCCCTCCGTGTGCAAGGCCCCTCCATCACCCATGATGTCTCGCTCTCCACCTCTAGAATCCCAGAATCCCCCACCCCTCTCCTCCTCCGGCCTCAGCAATGTCGGGACATCCCGGCTCAGATTCTGGTGAACCTGGAACAAAAACAAATAAAAGTGTTTTATCATAGGGGTTGTTTGACATCTGATCAAACAACCTTTTAAATTGATCTATCTATCCTTTTAAATGAGGCTTTGTGAAGCTGACATTTAAAGATTGACAACCTTTGCTTTTCTAGTTAACTGTTACAGCTATATTTATAGTTATATATTTAAGAAATAATTACATGTAGGCTATATATTCATATTTACATTTACATTTAGACATTTAGCAGATGCTTTTATCCATGATTTTTTATCAAAATCAACAAAAGAGCAATGATAAGCAAGTGCTATAACAAGTCTCAGTTAGCTTAATGCAGTACACGTAGCAAGGTTTTTTAAAAATCATATAATAAATAAAAAGAAAACAGATCAAATAGAAAAAGAATAGAGCAAGCTAGTGTTAGAGGCCTTTTTTGCGTTTGTTAATCAGAAGAAGTCAGAAAGTCAGAATTATAATTGTATAATAAATAAAAAGAAAACAAATAGAATGCAAAAATATTAGAGAAGCAAGTGTTAGTTGTTTTTTTTAAGAAAACAAGCAGTTAGTAAATAAATAGAGAGCAAGTCTAAAAGGGGTAATTTTTTTTTTTAAATAAAGAATAGAATTAGAATAGAGAGTGCTAGCTATAGAGGGTCAAATAAAGTGAAGAACGTGGCAAAGTCGTCAGCTGTTAGAGTTGATGAAGGAGGGGGAGGAGGAGGACAAAGGAGGGAGGAAAATGTTTTAAAGAGCATGCGAGAGTTAGACGAATTGTTAATTTTGTTATGATAGTATGTCCTTTTAGCAGTGGAGACATTAACAGAGAAGGAAGAGAGGAGTGACTGATACACATTAAGGTCAGTAGTATTTTTTAAATTGCGCCACACCCTTTCAGCAGCCCTGAACTTAGAACGATGCTCGCGGAGAACATCAGACAGCCAAGGGGCAGATATATATATATATTTATATAATTTATATATATATAAATATCTATACAGATATTTATATATGATTTATATTTATACATATAAATCCTATATATTGTTGTGACGAGAGGGGCGGGGCCGAGAGCCGTGGGAACGGAGCGAGGCCGGTGGAGTAAATGCTAATGCGCGACACCTGCGCCACTCACCGGTCTCGAGTCCCACGGAGGACGACAGTGTTGGACGAGAGAGGACCAGGCCTGGATTTTATTTTGTGTTTTGTGTGCGGCAGTCGTCCGCAAGGGGCTGCCGCTTTACTTTCATTTTGTGTTTGTTTATTTTATTAAAGTCTTTAAATGTTCGCCGGTTCCCGCCTCCTTCTTCCCGTGACTATGAACTTTGTTACAATTGTATACAGTAATATAAAGTTATATACAGTAAATATACACAGTACACACACATTTATTATGTAAACATAAACTTTTATTTTGGATTCTATTAATCGCGATTAATCGATTTGACAGCCCTAATTCAAATGCAATTCTGAATTGGAATTTAACAGACATTCTCTATACAGTTCTCAGATCAATCAAACAAAGTCTGAAATCTCAAATCATTATTTTAATCAGACTCAATCCACAGCATTCAAAACTCTCTAGTTTCTCTATATTGTCTCACTAGTAACATCCAATGCATTAACTAAAGTTAATGTATGGAGCCTTAACGTAAAGTGTTGCTGTCTTACTCAGTTGTGTTCTGAACACTGTGTCCTGTGGGCTGACACTTTGTACAACCCTGTACTCTTTAACACAGTCTCCTCTCCATCTTCTCTGTAATGAAGGCAGGAGAGGGATCATAATGACAGTCCAGTAAAGAAAAGAAAATTGAATTCCTGAGTGGTGCAAAGAGCATAAAGACATGTGACAAGCTCAGTCAGCACTGCATACATACAAATGATTTATGACATGCATTCATCTTACACACAGATACCAGGCATTTACTAACACAAAAATTATGTTGTTCGAAATTATGTTTCTTTTGGTATCTGATGTATTGCAAGGTATGCCAAATAAACCATATTTCCAATGTTCAACAATTGTTCTTGACAGTACAGGATGTTTTTTGGACTGAAATTTTTTTTGTGTGAGCTGGTGATAGTGTGGATGATGATCCTACTTTTAAGACCAATAAAAACTTCATACCTATCCCATGCTTTCAGATGCACATTCTCCCTTGATCAGAAACCTTCCCATCATGCTATGTATGAACTTCATGGAACGTGAGCCATCAGATCATTACACTAACTATCTTGGTAAGATGATTAGAGCAAGCGACAGGGGGTGTGGCAGGAGGGCATCCAGTCCAATAACAGCATTATTAACATGCTGCAGCCTTCGAAATCAGCTTGAACCTATTTGAAATTCAATGAGCCCAAATCACATAGCATACTGATACAGGCACTGTAAGGCAGAAGCCCCGCCTCTTCTCAAACAGAAACTGATCAATGAGCTACACAAATGGGGAGGAAAGGAGGATGAAATTGGTTTGACTACATGTTGCGGTCAATCATGTATTGTTATGGAGGGTCAGTGGGGGAAAGGAGAAACTAATTGCACATGGTCAAAACTTAGATGTTGTACTGAATTTTCTTGCTATTTGTGTTCCTATTCCTTCACAGTCTGATTAATTGAAGACATGGTGACTCTTACTCTTCCATATATAATTTGTTTGATTAATTCCTAGTGGTCTTCCTCTCGCTGCGCTCCTGAGCTCTGGTGATATAAAGCAGCGATATGCAGAGATGTACTGGGACTAAAAAAAGCCATGCTGACCCAGGACAACACATAACGGATAACAACCCACTACAACTGAACTACCATTCAAATGCTTAGGGTCAATGTTTTTTTTTTTTTTGAAAAATGCATAATTTTATTTAGCAAGGATGCACTAAATTGATTTTTTTTTTTAATTACAGTATAGACAATTACAATGTTTAACAAACTTTACATTTTTTTAAGAACCCTGAAAAATGTACAGTGGGTACGGAAAGTATTCAGACCCCCTTAAATTTTTCACTCTTTGTTATATTGCAGCCATTTGCTAAAATCATTCATTGGCTAATAAATTAACGTTCTTATATACACTGAAACTAAACTGCTTTGATAGGCTTTAAATAAATGATATATAAAAACAGCACAATTATTTAAAAATCAGCTTTTTGATACTAATTAATTTGACTTGTATAGTATGGTTTCCTAACCATATGTTCAGTCTAGAAAGTGACGTGATGTGCTGCACCCAGTGCTGCTTTACTAAACGTTGCCTATATCATCTGTGTACACCAGGATCTGTGGCTTAAAAGAGATGGCCTGAGGATGGAAAAATAAATGTTTTATATTTTTATTTTATATTTTAACTTGGCTTCAACATCCCCAAAATCGGCCAGCCCCCAGAAGAGATCCCGTTGCTCCCTATAGTCTATCTCTGGCGATATGAAGAACATTGGGAACGTCAAGAGTGTGTACAAGCTGTGCAGAATTCACATCCTCCTGCATCACACCAACACACCCACAGACCCCGAGCTGCTCCTCCTGCCTGCCTTCTTAAGGAATTCTCTGTCATTTCCGAGCCAGCTCAGCCCAGGAAAGCAAGAGGAACGCTATTTTTGCATACTGATTATGGGAGGTGGAGAGGAACAGGGAGAAATGAACTGTTCTTTGAAAGTGTAATCGCAAAAAAAATCAGTCTTTAAGAGGTCTCGGGGATTCGAGACGGCGAGGTTAATCTCCTGTCTCACACACACGGGGCAGCATGGATGACTCATCTCCATGATAGACTCACTGGAGAGATGTGGCAGGCATCGTCTCTCAGGAGATCAGCCTGTGAAACCCACAGGCGTCCTTACATGTATCCTGACCTGACATGTGCATTGTGACCAGCCTGTTTTAAACGCTCCAGTGAGAATTAAAGGGGGGAAAAAAGAAAAAGAGAGGAAAATAAAATCTGTCTTCATTTAGGGTACATTTACATAACAATGATGTAAGCTTTTCCTTCACGTTTTTAAAAAGGTTAGATGACAACAAAACGATCCCCATTCAAACATATCCGCAAAAATGGCTGTATTATGCATGCCAGGCCAGTAGTTGGCACTTTGTAAATAAACACTACGCACCTGCGCACATATGCATTCCTATAGACTGAACGTGTAATACACGTGCTGATGTCACCATTTTTACAAATTTGCAAATTTGAGACAATAACGGTATCGTGTTCAAAAATTTGCACATTGAAATCTGTTTTCAAATATTTGCATTTTCAGGCCCCCGCAACGCTGTTGTTGTGTATGAATGGCCAAAACACAAAAAGTTTTCTGTTTTTAGTTGAAACTGGTGTTGTTTAAATACCTCATTTAAAACCTTCTATTATAGAACATATTTAGAAAAATGTCGTCTTGTTTTTTTCATCCATACAATGAAAGTCAGTGATATCCAGTGTAGGTTGGACTTGAACATTCTTCATTTTTTTTCCAGCATACAGAAAGAAAGTCATATTGGTTTGAAACGACATAAGGGTGAATAAATGATGATACATTTTCATTTCTGAGTGAACTATCCCTTAAAGGACATCAGCCAGGGCTTTTGTTCTAGATAATTTGAAATGTTTTAAAATATTTAAAAATGTAAGCTATTTCTGTGCTGTTTTTCACGGAAACAGCATGGCATTGTATGCAAATATTGTTGGCTCAGAGACAAGTTGCTTATGCTAAAAAGTTGTTTTGGATAAAAGCGTCTGCTAAATGCACAAACGTAAATGTTAATGTCAAGACCTTTATTTTGAAGTTTAATTATATTGCTCTTGTCTGTGATCATAATGTCATAATGTGATGTGATCTTAATCATAAGTCTGTGTAAAAACATTCCTTAGACTTTGACCAAGTATTCAGTCACAAACTCACAATGTGTCATGATATTAAGAACCAAAGTGCAGTTTATTTTGTGAGTTTCATTTCCGTTTACATGCACAGTTTCCTATGTAGATAGCTTTCTAGATTTTGGAGCAGAGCTAATATGTACGGATATATGCATAAA